AAAATCAACATGTTACATTTCTGTGTTACTATACTTTGTAGTGTAACACGTCACGTAACTGTATTTAAATAGGGAACACGTGGAAGAGTTTGGTAGCTTCTAAAGGGGGGCTGATTTGGAACTATACAGTGTGTGGAAGAGGCTGCATTTGTGCTCCGTTTGCATGACAGAGCACACGGACAAAGACCAGACAGGTACATATCAACTAGTCTAAGGTAAGGTAAGAACATATGTCAGTATGTAAAAAGTGTGGCCTATTCCTTTAAACAGAATCTACAACACTACCTGCGCCCCCTGTCATCTTTGATATTTGTACAAAGTGAGTTCCGCAATCTATGATTGGATCGTCTATCAGACAGAGGACCCTTCTGCATTTGAGCATGACAAAATGTAGAAGACCCTGGTTCAGGAGACCACATTCTATAAAAGGGGGGTTAAGGGGGGGTCTTGCCTAAGGACAATAGTTTGCAAAAGATCACTCCCTCACGACAACACTTGGTATTTTCACAAAGCTGTGATTTTTGGCTCCACTCATCCTAACACCAAAATGTCTTTTCACAAAACGGTTCAGTCATTTCCCATTTGTTTAACATTTCAAAGCTGTGTACACTAACACTGCAGGTGGACCCTGGTGCTATTTGTGGTTTAACTTTGGCCTTAAGCTAAATCTTCCCTAAAACTCTCATGCAGAAATACTCTGAAATCTCTCCTCTCTGTGCGTTAGAGCGGGGCCAGCACCGAAGCTCCACAATCTGAGACTTGGCAGCAGTGTGGTAACATTAGACCCAGGGAGGGGTGAGTGAGGGGGGCTGCTGTCGTGCCGGCGCCCTTGGCCTCCCCCGGCGGAGCTAGGGGGTCAGGCGGCTGTCTGTGATCGCACACAGCGCCTCTTCCACATGGGATTTATTTTCTTGCTGGATGGGCAGGCAGGCGGCCCAAGAGGATTCTCATTTTAGACCAGCGTCTGTAGCTGTCAACGCCAGCCGACAGAGGCAGCGGACACCCGACCCCAGAATCCTCCCTGGACGCTCCCCTTTGGACCTCCGCCCACCCTCCCTCCCTCCCTCTGCCTACTACACGACGCACCGTCAACATACACAAGCACAGTTTTTTTTAGCTACAACCCAAATTTGAAACAAAACATTTACAAAATGATTATTTTACAGTGCGGACAACCACAGAACTATGTCATTATGTGATATCATGCGACCCCCTCTCGCCGTAATGCAAGGATCAGTTCTAGTCATGAGTGAGTTAAAACGGCCCATATACCTTTCATAAGGGTTGGGTTTAGAAGGATTTTTGCATACTTTAACAACATTATTTTCATAATGTTGTAGATAATATGTTGAACAACGCATTGAAAGTTTGAATAACACGGCAGCTCTCCCTCCCGCCGCACTGTGTTAATAATTTGTGCAGTATAAGATAGTGCAGCGCTCAAAGTTTGTGGGAGTTTATTGGCACGGTATTCCCCTCCATATTTGTGCGAGGCAGTGATAGGAGCATAAATTATTTCTTATCTCTTCCGCTATCCATTTTTCAAAGGCCTCACTCTGTGTCTGAAGGCTACAATGCCAACAGCCCGAGCCCAGATAGTGAGCCACAGAGACCAAACCGATTTTGAACAATGAGCACAAAAAGAGCTCAATGTTTCAGATATCCCCTTTTCAGTCTTAAATGATACACTGCACATGCCAAAATATTGACATCCACACTCTTGCCATATGGAGGAATACACTAGTCTGAATGTCAGACAATAAGCACTGCTGACCATGTACGTATACATTTCTAAAAATGACAAAAAATAGGTTCAAAATGCTTCCAATTTTTATTGCATTTAAACAAGATCTGTCAATGAGAAAAGCTAAGATGTCTTTAAAAGACAAAGTTCTCTCATGGAATGAGAAAAATGAGAGATGCGATAAATCCAAACTGCTTGTACCAAATGCATGTATGGTCCAAGATCTATTTTAGATAAATTATTTTTGTGCGTGCTTAATTCACTTGGATTATGTGGAATATTTTTGTATTATTAAAACTGTGCATTAATGCATCACAATAATCATAATAGATTAGATTCATTGATCTGAAAAATCTCAAAGTGGAACAGAAAAGAAATATCAATAGACAATGTCTATTACTGCATCACGACCACTTAATCTGATATTTATTGTTTCAGAACACAGGTATGTACATAAACACATCCGCAGCAGTGCTAACTTTGAATGTTCTTTATTTTAATAGTTTTAGCAGAATACTTTAAAAGTATCTACATGTTTTCTCTCATCTTATGGATTCTCTCATATTATTAAGTGAAGAGTATGGTTTAACTTGTTTGCACCCTTAATTTAAACCTCATTATTTTGATAAAAATGTTATCTCCCATTTGCTCTCCAACTACTGCTAACATTCAGCCCAATATGCAGAGACGAAACGACAAATACTAAATATCCCAACGTCCGCTGCCGAGCATTAATGTCTGCTCGTAGAGACAGGCCCCTGGTTTCTCCCGGCTACTATTGATTTTTTTTCCCTGTGTGATGTGAAACCAGCAATCAGCAGTGCGGTTTGAAATAGCCCTGAAACCGGAGCCGAGACGTCGATGAGTCGCCAACACATTTCAATTAGCGAGCCGCCCGGGCCGATCTCTCCCTCGGGGGCACCAGGCGCACCCACCCCGACACAGCTGATCCGGGGTCTGCTTTCGGCGCACTGATCAAGCATGCTGTGGCCAAATAATTTGTCTATTTTTAGTGGAATTCAGCGCATAAACTTGAATATTTTGTAGAGGTAAAGCAGGAGTTAGGGAGTTCACATGATATGGAGGTATAAAATAATGATTGGTCATTGCTTTACCTTTTATACATAGAGCAGGCCATCTCAAAGCTGCATTTCAATTGCTGAGAGCCTATGGCAATACTATCTAAAGCCAAGAGAAGATTCACTTTTCTGTCAAATGTCAGTATCAGTATTAGTAGTATAAGTATAATACTATCAGTAGTATAAGTATTTGTCAAGTTCATACTACAATTCTTGAGCACAACTTTCTAATTATAGTTGTCTATAATTACTGTTGCTGAATGATACATTTCTATCAGAATCACATTATTTGCCATTTAGTACAAAAGTAATCTTGATTTACTATATACCGCCTTTCACAGACCAGAGTCACAAAGCGGTTCACAATTGTTATTTTTTGGGCATTTTTTGTCTCTCACTCCACACAGAGATGGGAGTGAGGTCGCAAGTACAGAAGGCGCATGCCAGACCTATTGTACATGTTTTTAGTGGTAGGGGAAACCGGAGCACCCGGAGGAAACCTACGCAGACACAGGGAGAACATGCAAACTGAAAGGCCCTGTTCCGACCGGGATTCAAACCCTGGACCTTCTACAGATTTACAATCATTTACAGATTATTATTATAGTAATAGTGCAAAAATATCAGGGAAGCATATCATAGCCCACATCAGACAAAATGTATGTTAGAAACATTTGATACAGTGAAACAAGGGTTTAATAAACAAGTGCAAGATCAACCTCAAACCAACATGCAAGTTCTGCTGTAGATAGGAGGTTGTGGGAAGAACAGAGTACAGCTCTGTTCTTCTATGAAGATGTATTGTTCCAAGAGATTTACTATTGGCTAAATGTCTCTTCACAGAGTTCAAAGCAAAGGCAATTGTGTCATCCCATTTTATCTAAACTGGAACAGGTCAACAGATACTGGAATCTTAATCCCGTCAATCATAACAGAGCCACATCATTTCACTATAAGTAGATATAATTTACTCATTTAAACGGTCTTAAAATCCCTACCTGCGACGGCCGCCATCTTGAATAATTGCCCAAAGCATCTGTGCCCTCAATGATCTGTGGGGGAAGTTCTTAAAGCCAGTCTGCCCCATCCCTGTTACTGCCACCACTCAACCACCAACTCACTATGTCATACATTATCTCCGCCAATAAAGGCAGGTAGACCTCCGTGTAAAGCTGAATATCTTCAAAAATTGCTTGTATTGATGCAATGCACGCATCTATTATTGACAGTAAAAAGACCGATGTTTAAACAAGCCCAAAGTAGAGATCATAAAGACGAGTTCAATGTCATCCAGCCAACATCATAGTGCTGTATCATTTTTAAAGCTTTTAGCAGCCGGATCCAATTAAAAACGTTTTTGCCTTGTTTATCAAATAGGTTTATAGGTTCTGAAAACGTAAACATAAACTAATACTTCAGTTGCTAACATTGTTTACACACCGTCTTTTGAAGCAAAAGGCACACTTAAAGAGAAGCCACCAAGCCCCGGCGATCCAAGATGGCGCCCTATTCAAATGAATGGTTGTGCTCAGTGGCACTTTGTGACGGCATGGGGGCTGAAAGATCAGCGGAAGTCGCCTGAAACTTGCAAAGATCTATGGGAAACTCTCCTGTATTTGGGCATCGTCTGGTCCTCCCGGTTCTGCGCAGTGGATGATCTCCCATAATGCGTTGCGTCAAACACACGTGTGTGGGTCTCACACCGGGTCTCACGCACGTGCACAGAGGGGCTCGGCCGCGCTCTGACCAATCAGAGCAGTTCATCAGAGCGGGAGTTACAGCGAGAGCCAGACGGGCAGAGTTTGTGACACTAAAGTGTGGATTTAAACAAAACCAAAGGATTTAAGAAGAAAAAAAGTTCAGGATGACAAGGGACACTAAAATCCCCACAAAATCTGATCTTTATGAAAGCTGTAGGTGCTCTGTCAGCTGAGGTTGAGCTGTTTTAATATGCATTGAGTCCTATGGGGAACATTTCTGGGTAGCCCACGTGAATTTAGTCTGGTTTAGTCTGCAGTACCGCGAGAATCCCCTGAGTTATTCAGCTACAAGCTAGTAATACCCTATCCAGTTAATATAATAGATCCATGGAAGCCACGCATATTTTCGCCACGTAAGGCACACATAGTGACACCGCTTTCAGTTGAAATACATAAGAACTATGCTTTGGCGGCACATTAATCACATGCCGAGCGCAGCTCCACCTGTCCATGACCCAGAACCCGTGTCATACACACGACTCGCGACGGCCGGCCGGCTAGGTTATGCGCCGTGCTTCTGGACCTCGTTCTATTTTGGGTCATGGCGTCAGCACCCACCACCCGCCCCCGAGAGCCCATCTCCATCCCGACGGCCAACAGTTCCCCACCCATCCATCCGCTCGCCTTGTATGTGCTTGGTGGTATGGTAGAAAGAGGCAAGGAAAGTTTCATCTCTAGTCCCACGCCACCACTCCTACCACAAGAGGCAACATCCAGTGCAAAACACAACCAGATCAGAGCCAGCCCCACCACAAACCGCATACATAAGCATTACAACTCGCAAGTTACATTAAACGCACAGTTCAACTCACACACATCCACGACTCCATCCTCCCTCCGTCACCTATGCACAGCCTATTCACATCATGTGCTTTGCCCACTTGACCGCGCCACCGCATGTCACCCCTATTTCACGAGACAGACTGTTCCAGATCTTATTACGCCTGCCTGCCTCCGGACACATGGCCGCCTCGCGCCCTTGATTCGTCTCCTACTTCTGGCCCTGTCCCTAAACCGACGCGCGCCTCCGCAGTCCAGATGTCAGGCTCTCATATGGCACTACACCTCGCGGGGGGCCTCGAGCACATCCTACCTTGTTTTGTAATTTCCTTTAAGAATTGACTACTCTCCCCTAGTCCCCCATGACCATGATTCCGCTCCAACCCCACTACCATCCCCCTAGCCTCTGTGAGCCCCCTCCGATCTACTTGTGTCCCGCCCAGTCTGTGGCTATGTGATTTGTCTCCACTCTCACGGACCCGAGGCCCCAGTGGGCGCCGCCGACACCACCTCGTTCTGATGCCTTCCGGGGGCCTTCGGTGTTCACCACCCTCCGATTCCACACTTAGCGCTCCATGTCCCGAGCTTAACTCACACGTACCCGGCTGCTTTCCCAACTTGGGCCCCAACAGGCCGTCCCTACGGTCGGCGCGGGCCAGGGATACCTGCCACATTTGAGTCAACCCTGCACACCATGTCTATGCCACTTTGCGCCCCCCCCCGAACCATGACAGTTTTTGGGTTCCCAGTCTTCCAGTATGTCACCGCACCCTCAAACCCGCTACCCTGGTGGTGCCCCCAATCTCTCGCGTTCGGACTGTGCCCGTCTATCTACGGATCGTTTGCCACCCAGACGTACATTTCTCAATGCCTTTCATCCATAGCCGTGCACTGGCAGTCGCCCTGTGGTTCCAAGGGCCGTACGCCGCACCGACTCGCCGCGTCACAAGGGGCCAACGGGGGCCAGGCCCCCCCCGCACGCTCTGCTCGTACCCCCCCCCTGCTCCTCTCGCCTGCCCACCATACCTACCCTCACCCTCCCCTCCACCCTCCCCTCGCCACCGCCTCACTTTGGTCTCATCTGGCTGCTCACAACGCAGGGCATCAGGGACCCACGAGCACTACTACGCCCCCGCCCCCTCGCCCCCCAATCCCACGCCGCTCCGGGCCCGATCCATAGCCCTTACTCCCTTTCCCCTGACCCCGCGCTTATGGCCACGGAGCCACACCCTTCCTGCCGCAACACCGCCCTACAGCTTCGCGCCAGCTCTCAGGGACAGACTCACGAGTTTGTGTCTGCTGTGCCCACAGTTAGCATCGGCCCCTTTCGGCATTTCCTGTACACACCGATAACTCCCCACTCCTGTCCCCGCAGGAGTGTTGGCACTTTCCCGATCATTTGACTGAAAAACCACTATGCACTACTATGTTGACCGCGCTCTTACACTGACCTCTCTCCCCCTACAACCCTCCCCCCCCCCAGGGACCCATCACGCCCTGTAACCCCATCCCTAGTGCCTGAACTGTGCTGTGGGACCAGATCCAACATGGTCCAATAACAACGTCAAAATCCCCTGACAGACAGTACGGGGTTTTTTCACCACCCTGTTATCTTTTGGGTGTCCAATCAGCCCCCCCCCGACTGCACCCTTTGGTTGTGCGCCCTAATCCGGTCTGCAGGCTACCAGAGAACGGCCGACGCAACGACGCCAGACAGCCGCGCCAGCCTCTTCGTACGTAGCACAACTTTAACCCTCTGGCAGAGATCCATGAGGCTGCCGAATAACTCAAGTTTTCATTCTTCTCATGCCTGCCGGGAGAAACACCACGGCTGAACCACTGCTGTTGTGGTGACGTCAGATGGTAGCCCACTGCCCGGCTATCAGCCCAGGCGCACCGCGAGCCACCTACAATCTTTACCATACACCCGCACACGGCTGCCTGATCTCTTACAAGTTATCCATTTCATCCATCGACCCCCCCCTAGCAACACTCACTGAGACCCTCAGCCTTTGACAGCCACCACGCTCGTGAGTTTACACTCCTCAGGGCTTATCCACGTCTCCCCGACGCCGACTTCCCCCCATGCCACGAGTCCCCCTCGGTGGCCCCAACTCCCCGCCTGGCCTGCCAGCCTTGTCCCGCTGGTCACTCCACTCTGCTCTTTATCCGCGCCCTGATATGTACAACTCCGTCTCGCTCCCTACCTGGGAACCGCCCGCCTGTTGGCCCCCATCAGTCCGCTGCACACCCGATCGCACCACCCTTTGCCCCTGAGTGGCCCACAACAGCCTTGTGCGAGGTTGGGTCTGACCCGCTTCGTACGCTAAGCCGCCTGCCGAGTCAATCCTCAGTCCGCCGACACGTCTGTGCCATCTGCGCATCTGCTATGCCAGCCCGCCCCCCTACGAATCCGCTCGTCTCATCTCTATGACGCCTCAGCTGTACGGAGCAGCCTGGGATCTCTGTTTTCTAACTTTCTCCCCAGGTTACCACAGCCGCCATGTCTGCTTTGGCCCCCCCTCCCCCGACCTACTCCTGGTCCGTGTCCGTAACGTGCACTAACCGCTCCACCCGTAATATTTAGCCGTTCTCCACTTTCCCTATCAGAGTACAAGCATCTAGCTCTTGGCCTTGCTCAGCTACCCCTCACCTTTTCAGCCTGCTAGAAGCCCGTACTTACCACCGTACCTACGCATGTCCTACAACTGCACCACACACACTCTAGTTTGAATTTCTTTCTGCAATGATGACACCTACTGCAAGCTGCTGTGGCGTGGCCCACCCGTCATAGTGTTTAAGCCTGGTCTGACTGGTGCAAGTCGGTACAGCCTCTGCCCGTCAACCAGCGCCATCCTCCCATCTACTTACCTTTACATGAGTTGATAGTCAATTGGGTTGTCCACAGTCCACTACCATGTAATCTCCCTACAGCCATCCCAGCTAAAAGCTATTCCACACCACTTGTGTAGGTAGGTCTGCACTTTTCTCGGTCAAGGAGCCCACCCACCTCCAGCCGTGGTACCGTTACAGTCTTGCCCACCCATATTACGCACTGCCATACGCGTACTTCCCATCCCGACGTACACCCACCTGCTATTCCCCATCACATCGTCCCTTACCTTCGACCAACTGCATAGTGCATGTGGCGGTCATCCCAGGAGGTGTCCACCGCCTTGCACTTGGGACCACTTCATCGGCGAAGGGGACATTGCCTTCCGATTATCCATTATTGTGCCCCAGAGAGCTATTGATACGTTCCCTCCCAAATTCCCCCCCACTACCACCCCCCGCTATACACGACTCCATCCTGTTATCTTTAGGCAATTCTTTCCCACTTGTACCTCTGCACATTCCGAACTTCAACAGCTGTCCTACACGATCCCCTTTCTCTAAGTTCTTTCTGCCTGTGCGTGCTGGTCTGGACCTTGCCCAGTAGCTCCGTCCCTTCCACCCCCCCTCCCGGCGCTCTCGCCCCCCCCCTACCTACCACCCACTCCCCTCTCCACGCCTGTGGCTTACTGTGTTTTACCGCGCTGCACTGTCACGCCCACTCACTGGATCGCCACATTTGCACGCGATGGGCTGGCGTGACCACTCACGCCGAGCAAGCCCCCGGCCGCGCGGACGGCCCGCGACGTTCATTTGGCATGGCTAGTTTTGGCTGTGCTCCGCCGTCCCCGGCCCCGACGCACTACGGGCACGTATTCACGGTGTCGCTCCTACCGCCGCTTGTTTCCACCTGCAGCTGTCTGTGCTCACCCCCAGACCTGTCGCACTTCCCTCCACCGGCACGTGGGGGCCCGTGGTTCCGCATGTGCATTTGGTCCCCTAAATCTGGATCCCGCACACAACTTCCTCTGACACGCCCGCAACACAAATTCTGCGCCGCTTTTTTCTTCAAAAGGACGTATATCCCCATGCATTGCATGGAATATGGATCGAATTTCGAAATGCACACCTACAAAAACTACCGTGACAATGCTGCATGCAGCTTTAAGTTTACAAGCCCAAATGACCACAAACGATTAGTGTTTCCAAGTTCTTCCAGCAGGTACCACACAGCAAGTACCATAAAGTTCATGTCCTCGCATCATCTTTGGTCTCTCACGCTCTGTGGCTATAGGAGTTTAGAAAAGTGCTCCATGCATACTTCTCTGCGCTTTGCCTGGTACACTCTTTTTCTACCTGAGTTGACCTTACGAGGCAGCGCGTGGCCCCCGTTCACCACCCAGTACACGCCCCCGTACATACCTTTCCCCACGCAAGGACCAGGCTACCCTCGCCTCTCAGCTCCCTTCCTGTGTTGTTGTAGCTTTGGAGCCTTCAGTACTCTGGTGCAGCCTATATCCTCAGTCTGCCGTTGGGTTGTTTGTAGAACGAAAAACCAACAGCTATCGGAGCTGAGTTCCCGACCAACAAGCTCCAGTGCACGGTCACATGCCGGCCAGGCCCAACTGCAAACAGCCCCGACCTACCCACCGACTGAAAATTGAGATAAAAATTATACTATTTTTACAGCGCCAGCCACCCAGTTGTTTCTGCGCGGTCCTGCCTGCCTCCCCACTTCTTTCCCATGGCATACGCACAGATGCCCATCCTGCCTTTTACTACAGAATTCCCACCGACCCATCCTAATCTTGACCCTGCTCGCAGGTTTGCGCTGCTCCCACCGCCGCCACAGCTCCCTCCTCCTTCCTTTCTGCATGGTCTATACCACTCCTGTTTCCTGACCCCCCTTACCCATGCTTCTGGCGCGCACCCCTTCTCCTATCTGTATATTCAACAACCCATGCACTTACGGAATATCCGCCTTCTTTGTCCACGCCCTGCCCAACCAATCCTGTTTACATAACCCACACAAACAACGATCGCAAACAGGCAAAACCCCGAAGAAGCTATTATCATTCCTGCCCATTATCCGCCACATCTGCCCGCGGCTCCCTGCTCTGGATCTCGTTCCGTCTTTCCCTGGCTGTTCCGCATTCTTTGTGCCGTTTTCATGTAGTCTCCAGAGCCTATAAAGGCTCCGTGCCACCCCCCGGGCTGCCCCGGTGCTTGACAGTGGACTAGCCCTCTACGCCTCTCCGCACGCACGGTCCTGGTTCCACTCCCCGGTTGCCCAGGGCCGTTCGACGTGGCGTTTGCAAAGTTCTCCTCTCTCGCCTCAAGCGGATGTCTGGACGGTTTCCTCCGGGTGCTACCGGTTCGCCCTACCACTTAAACACGTCATGTCCCATACGGTATGGCCTGTGCCTCCTGTATCCTGGCCCCCCCCCCTCCCAACCCAATAACCTTGATTACACCGCATGCAACGCCACCCGATGTTGCAGTGCCCCGGCGGGATATAACTAAACAGCTTACATACTTAATACAAACAACTGAGCAGCGCGCCGCTCCCGCTGAGCATGCCGTCCCTTGGCCATCTCCATGATTGGTTAACGTGGCCCGGCATCGTGGATTCTGACGCTCTCAGCTAAGAAACGGGGAGGGCGGGCCTACACTGTAATATTAGAGATTAATAAACGCCCTTCTTTCTCCCCACTCCTTATCCGGCCAGGCGTCCATTTCCATCACCCTTCTTCCACATCAACATATTGTACTTCATTTACGCAGTTACCACAACTGTCCAGCTTTAAGACGTTTTTCGTGTTGTCCTCTGTGATCATTGTCAACTACCATTTGCGCTCTTGTACTCCCCCTCCTATTATTGAATTTGCTTTTACAGTTGTGACTATTACCCTCCCACACACTCCCCCATTCCCCTTCTGCTTCCCTGCTCTCTCTCCCCCCCCACCATCGGCGACGGCGGCACCGCGGAGCTCCCTGACGCCACAGGTCATTTGTCTTGTGATTATTTCAATATCAACTTTCACCGCCAATTCCATCCAAAGGTTGGCGTACAAAGCCTCCACTGGTCTTATGGACATGCTCACAGGCCACCTCTAAACTTAAAGGCCCGTACTGTACCTCCCTAACTTCATACCAACTTTTAAGAATTGTAGTAAATTGACCTCCTGGCCTTCAATGTTGGTATAACAATACAGTCATTTTATTACATGCAATATTCAGGTAAGGACCCACCTCCCCTTCTCTGTAGCTATAGCTCGAATCCACCCGATGCCCGTCCCCGTGTCCACAATCACGTGCTGCCAAGGGCGCATGCTCGTAGCTGCGCGCAGCTAACACAGTCATTGTTTGTCAAGTAAGTAAAGTAAGATCTTTTATTTATCATACCGCCTTTTCACTGCCCATCGGAGTCTCACAGCGGTTACCAATTGTTACTTTTTTGGGAGTGGGGGTTGCTCAGTACAGGAGGCACCTGCCAGACCTATTGTACATATTTTTAGTGGTACGGGGAAACCGGAGGCACCCGGAGGAAACCTCCGGCAGACACCTGGGACTTGAACATGCCAACCTCCCACTCAGACAAGGCCCTGGTCCACCGGGATTTTGAAACCCCGGACCTTCTTGCTGAGAGGCGAGCGTGCTACTCCACTCCGACCCCTCCGTGCCGCCCTTTTGTTTTTCACGTGCATGCGCCTTTATAGGCCTCTGGCACCACTACATGACACACTGCCCAAAGGATTTCTGAACACCATTAGCTATACTGACACCTACCTATCCCTCCTAACCGATCCTCTGCCGATGTGTCCTCAAATGTGCATTTAATGACTAATAGCTTCTTCTGGGTGTTGCCGCGATCGTTTTTTTGTGGCATTAAACCCATTAGTTTTTTTTCATTTCGTTTTACAAATAATTCGGAAACACCACCGTTGCATGGTGTAATTACTACATACATATGTATACTGTGTTCTCTCATTACACCTTATACATGTGGTACGGACACCTTAGTGTCGACCAATCAGACAGGAAGGAGGAGGGAGCTTGCGTCTAGTTTTTCTCTTCACACCTGGCTTCATAGCATTTTCAATATTATTATGTGTCCTGTTTTATTCAGTATAAAGTAGGAGGCCTTTTGCTATTCCCTTTGAAATACATTTTATTCATCCGTACCTCGCCATAACACCTGTTTGTCTGCGCTGGTAAAAATACGTACTATTTTTTTACTCTCCCATTATCCGTCGTGTCGGTCCGTGGGCTGTTTGCAGTTTGGCCTGGCCCTGCATGTGACCCGTGCACCTGGACTTTTGTCGGGCCTCAGCTCCCGAAATCGTGGTTTTCGTCTACCAAACAACAGTCAGACCTGCAGAGAATATGCTGCACCAGAGACTTAAGGCTCCACACGCTCCAACAACCCAGGAAGGAGCTGAGCTGCGCTGGGTAGCTTGTGCCTGCGTTTTGCAGTATTTATGGGGCTGTTTACTGTGTGTTAACGGTGCCCCTCTCTGCCTCTAAGGTCAACTCAGTAGAAAATATTGTACCAGGCAAATCTCAGCAGGAAGTATATGCATGTAGCACTTTTAATACACCTACTATACGCCCAGAGAGTGCGACCAAACGCACTTATGAGGACGACTGTATGTTACTTGCTGCGTGGTACCTGAATTTAGACCTTGTCAAACCACCTAGTGTTGTGTGGTCATTTTGGCCTTTAAACTTAACGCTGCATTACTTCACTTTATTTTTGTATTCATTACGAAAATTCTATCCATATCCAGTGCAATGCACTGGGAACTAACCGTCCTGTTGACGATACAAGTCGCGCAGATTTGTGCTGGCGTGTCAGAGATATTGTTTCGGGACCCGATTAGTGCCCAATCACTCAGCGGACCACTGGCCCCCACTTTCTTGCGAAACGCTCCAGGTCTGTGGTTAGCACAGACAGCTGAGGTAAACCAGCGGCGGAGGCTCAACCTGCACACTTCCCGTGTCTTCGTTTCCGGGTTACTGCTCAGTCACCACCAGCCCATAACAGCCATCCAAAAGACAGAAAGGCTCGTTCCTCCGCGCTTCCTGGTTCTTACATCTATGGTCACGCCCATCTCCCCGTTCATCATGTGCGCCCATAGTGTGAGACCGTGAGCGTCGCTGTAAACACATAAGCACAGGCTGAGGGGGAGGGGGGTACGTGGGGGGCGATAGCTCCGTGAGTGTGGGGAAGGCGAGCAACAGGCACGGCCAGCACCTCACATTCGACCCCTTTCTACCGTGAGTTAGTCCGCATTAATCTAAGGATTATTTACAAGTGAAACTCATGCTAAATTAACACATGATGGATTAATATCTTTTGGTGAAGTGGGCATATGTATTGACACTCTATCAAACTCTTGGGCCCACAAGGTAAACCGCCGGGCACTCCCCTTCGCCTTGGAAATGTCCAATTCAAGGGGGGGCCAACCC